TGTGTGTATGTTTGTTTGTCTGCCCTTTTGCTAAAGTGTGATTGAATGTCAGATAGCTGTACACTTTACTAGACAACAAGTGTTAAGTGTCAATTCTCAATTATGCATATAATTTGCTGTTTACATCCCCTTCCAGCAATCTGGCGGAGAGCTTCCCAGTCGTCCGACCAGCCATCCACACCGATGATACAACACAGTCGGTTGTGATGACACTCATGGCTGTCACGGTGCAAGAGGATATCAGAACTTGTTTTTATTGTGCGATGTTTTTTTGTGTTACTTCCCTCTCTCTCTCTCTCACTCTATTATTTATTTTTTCTAACACGAATAAATTTACATGTATAACAGAAATATCAACAATATTATCATAATTTATATATCGCCTAAGGCATATAGAGGTTATTAGGGGGTTAAGATGATGTTCAGTGTAGAGTATAGGTACGTATGTATTATGTATATGCATTTAGTTGTTTATCATATTATGGAGAATGTGTCGACAATCCGCCGAGTTTAGTTATTTATTTTTGGTTTTAATGCTAATTTACATAATTTCACTTTTCTTATACCCTTAAGGATAATGAGAGTATATAACATGTGCCTCATCGAAATATAAAAAAGGTAAAAAATCCTATTTTAGATAAATTTGATTCGATTTAGAATCACTTTCTAAGTCGATGTATGCATGTCCGTCAGTCTGTCCGTCCATGTTTATTTGTGAACAAAGTACAGGTCGCATTTATGATCCCATTTAGATGAAATTTGGCATAGGTTACTTATTTGGCCCAAGGACGAACTCTATTGAAATTGGGAAAAATCGCTTCAGATTTAGATATAGTTCCCATATAAATTTTCGCCCGATTTAATGTAAATGGTGTGCCAAAGTCCCTATATATCTTTCGATTTGCACGAAATTTAACTGAGTGTACTGAATTGAGTCTAGAATGATGTGTGTAAAGTTTCCTGATTTTATGTGATGTGTGTAAAGTTTCCTGTGTGTAAAGTACGATTTTAAGACCCAAACTTAGGACGATTGCCACATAGTTATGCACAGATATAGCTCCCATATATCTTTTCGTCCTTTTTTAAGTTAGGTCGATTGACACAAAATTTTGCACAACGTACTGAAGAAAGCATAAACAAACATGTGTCAAGTTTTGTTGAAATCCGTTCAAATTTAGATATAGTTCCCATATATAGTTTCGTCCGATTTTAAGTTGGGCCCAATGACCCAAAATATGTTCATGAGGAACAAAACGTACAAAATTTCATATCGATCTAGAATAGAATGACGTAATTGCATTTTGTAAAAGTACAAATTTAGCCCATATATACTTCCGATCGATTTCGTGTTAATTGGGTTCCAAATATTCCGTGGATGCCCGATTGATATTTGTTTTAAATCGATTCACATAATTTTTTCCCCATTGTAACAAACAAATGACATGTTTATGGATTGATCTATGTCGGTTCACCTTTAGATAACTCAACCAAATCGGTTGAACTCAACCAAAAGTATTTTATATGCATTTGTGGCCTCTTTAAAGACCACAAAATTGTACATGGGGAAACCATAGATATACTGACAGGTACTTGAAATACAAATATAGGGAAAATACCAAAAAGTGGACCTATACCGCCATTTCTACCAACCGATTATGTAAACCATAATACAAATTTCAACAAGAGAAAAAGCGTTAAATTCGGCCGGGCCGAACTTTGGATACCCTCCACCATAGATATACTAAAAGGTAGTTGAAATGAAAATGTAGGGAAAATACCAAAAAGTGGACCTATACCGACATTTCTACAACGCGATTATGTTATGCCATGTACAGACGAGCGTCGTTATGAAGTAATTACATAGTTCCCCATACAAAATTGTCTGAGTGAACACCGACTTTTGTACGTTGTTCAATTCGAATCACTCTCTGAATAACCAAGAATTTTGTCCCATCCCTAACAAATGAGAGAATTTATCGAAAATAAATTAATTTTGACAGCATGAAAATATTTATAAAATTTTCTAACTTTTTCAGTAAAATTGAAAGTGATGAATGAAAAGTAAAAAAATTTATAGTTTTTATATATGCAGAAGAAAGTAAATTTTGTAATCTACATAATGCAATATGCATTTCTTTCCCTTTGGTTATAATTAGCGTACAAAACGAGAAACAAATGTGGGGAAACCCAAACAAAAATTCTCCATTTTTTATTTACATATACATATGTGACATTTGAATTGAGAAAATTCGAAAATATATTTAAAACCACAATATTTTCAGAGAAAATGGAAAACATGAATTAAAAGTAAACAGATATAGGTTCATACTATAGTCAGGAGAAAGAGAATTATTTTTTTTATTTAGATCCATGTGTAATTCAGGTAAATATGTTACAATTTTGGTGTAAAACAAGAAACAAAAAGTTTAAAATAATAAACTCTGATGACATGAATTAAGAATAGTGTCGTATGAACGGGTTAATTCATGTACGTAATTCTGAGAGCGAACTACGTTGTTCGAATGCCCGTCAGAACATGGCATAAACCATAATGTGAACCATGTTCCAGAAAATGTTGATTTCATCCAACCTGTGCCTATCTTATTATTCTTCCAAACTTAGTTCAGGTTCGAAAATGTGGACTATCGGTCCACTCCCTCTGATACCTCCCACACAGGTGCTAGGCCTAAATGCTGGTTATAGTTCATGTATAGTTCATTATCGAACCTTACGTTCTAACTTTATCTCGATATCCTCCACAAGTTAAATGATTACGACAGACTCTTAGAACCAAACCCAAAACACGGAACAAATCAGATAAAGATTTTAATATAAATAAAAATGGGTTTATATGGGGACTACCCCAAAAAGGGGTGAATATTAATAATTTTTGGTGGAGAGAGTTGTTACCATATACGACTACCAAATACCAAATTGCAGCGAATTCGGTTGAAAAACGCGCTCAAGAACCCCAAAATACCGAAAATCCTTATATGGGGGCTACCCGAAAAATTGACCTATGTTCATAATTTTTTGTGGAGAGATTTGGAACCTATTAAGAACTCCAAACACTAAATTACAGCCAATTCGGTGGAAAAATACGATCAAACCCCCCAAAATTCTGAAAATTAGGAGTTACCGTTATAAGGGCTCCGAGAAAAAGTGGACCAATATTTATAATTTTTTGTGGAGACATTTAGTACTCAATAAGAACCAAATGTACCAAATTTCAGTGAATTCGGTTGTAAAACTTGCTCAAGAACCCCAAAATACCGAAAATTGTAGGGAACCCTTATATGGGAGCTTTGCCTAAACATGGACCGATATATCCTATCTTTGAACTTGACCCTCCTGCAGACAAAAGACAACCCTATGCAAAATTTCAGCACCCTATCTCAATTCCTTCAGAAGATAGCGTGATTACAACAGACGGACAGACGGACGGACGGACATTGCTAGATCGTCTTAAAATTTTACCCTGATCAAGAATGTATATACTTTATAGGGTCGAATATGAATATTTCGATGAGTTACAAACGAAATGACAAAATTAATATACCCTCCATACTATGTTGGAGGGTATAAAAATAGTGTTTCTGTCCCGATGCCACGTTTATAACCCAAACAGCAATAAACCAATAAATACGGGAAGAAGAAGTAAAGCCAAGTGAAGTAAAGCTGACTTCTAAATGTATTTAAATTATACTGATTTATACCCGCAATCATAGGTGGAGTGTATAAATTGTTATTCCGTTTGCAACACCTCGAAATATTCATCGGAGAACCCACAAAGTATATATATTCTTGATGAGTATAATATTCTATGTCAATTTACGTATGTTCTCTAGCTGAAATCACGATAGAGATCGCAATATTTAATATAGAGCTCTGAAATTTTGCAGAGGCTTTCTAGTACTCTTAGGATGTTTGGTATTATAAATGCCATATATCGGTTCAGGTAGTGGTCTAGCCGTTATATAACGGTACACTCAATAATCGGTATTTTGGACACATTTTCTAATCAAACTGTCTGTAATTTGGTATTTTGGGTTTCCATTGAATTACAAATATTCGTATCAAAATTTTGTTATATTGAAGTTTCAGGGTATTCCCCATATAACGGTGTCAAATCTCTCTACCAAAAGTATCAATATTGATCTCCGTTTTATTATAGCCCCATATAAGGGGATTTGATATATTTTGCTCACATATTTTTGGGTATCATAAGATGAATTATAAAAAGTTCGGCCGTCTTTCTTTTTTACTTGTTATATTCTGAGGAGGATATTTCGCTGAATTTTTCACCGACACGGCAATTAGTTTCGCAAAAATTTAAGTATTGGGGTAGTTGCGTAGGGTATCATATGGATAGCCCCGTCTCACTGAAAAAAAAAACATTGGAAAATCTAATCCCAAATATATCGTATTCCACTAGAGTATGGGGGATATTATGTACCCGAAATTGTCAGTTTATACCCTACTAAGTATGGAATTTTAAGACAGGTTTGCCATCTGTTGTAATTATTTTACATTCGGAGGATATTGAGATATTTCGATAATGTAGAAAATGTTTCCAAAAAAAGTGGCTGTATGTTTGGTATAAATTAAAGTTTCGAATATAAAATCCAATGGTGAATAGTTACTTTTGGCTATCACAGTGTTTGTATCAGATGACCTAACAAAATTTTGCCCCAATTTAAAATGGTCATTTAGCTAATATGTGGCATGTAAAGCCACAAAAATATAAATGTGACTCTAAAACCAACAATCTGCTAATAGGGGCCACATTAACATTTATGGTAAGTGTGCTTATCGAAAGCTTACTACTAGGATAGCAGCAACATATATAGATACATTTTTTCATGGTTCACAAAATATGGTCAGACCACAAAATGAAAATAAAAAGTTTTTTTCACCACAATCTCCATAATATCGTTGATGTTGTTGTTTTTGTTGTAATTGAATAAAATCGATTCCCGGACATTTTTCACTTAACTTACCTTTATAGAGGAGACCACAATTGATACCAAAATCATTGGAGGTATCAAAGATATCATGATGCAAATTCAAAGCAATTTGCATGGCCTGATGGTGAGGGGCCGCCAGTGGATCATTGAATTTAGTGTTGTTATTGCTGGCGTTGTTGTTGTTGACATTTTGCGATGTGGCTGTATCGTCGTCAGCTATTACATCGGCATCAATCACTGTGGCATCACTAAGAAAATTATCGAGTTGTGAGCGACAGGAATTGATGTTTGTAGAAGTAGTGCTGGTCGGCGGTGATGATTTTTCCAGATTTTCCTTCTCATTGTGCGGTACTGACATTTGTACCGAATGTGACGTTGACATTGGGGTTTCATGTTCTTCTTGTTCCATCTGTGAATTTTGGTCATTATCGAAAGATTTGCCATGTTGCGTGAGTGGTTTTTCCGCACTCACATATGTAGTTGTCAGCTGAGGTGAAGGCAAACTGTATTCACCCCCAATCGGGTTGAACAGAGTCTCTCCATTGTTTGCATTGGCATCCAGTTTTCTGGCATGTTCATTTTCAGTGTTCTTGTCATTGTGAGTTTTTGTTAATGGAAAATTAATTGTTTCTGTCTGTTGTATTTCGTGTTCTTCTTCTTCGTGTTGCTCCTGAGAAGCACTGGTTGTAATTGAAGCTACGTCTTCGTGATGACCCTTAGCCACATTGCTGTTTCTGTTATCCACGTTTAAACTGTGTTGTTGGCCCTCAAAGGGTATTGTTTCATTGGAGATGCCAATTGAATCATCTTCACTGTTGTTGTCATTAATGCCCTCACTGTTGTTGTTGTAAGTAAATTTGTTGTTATTGTTGTAATTGCTATTATGATTACCGTCATTCTCTACATTGTTCACATCTGTTTGCTGTTGTTCCGCTTCCACAATAGGCGTGGTTGCCACAATGATGGCAGCTGGCGCTGTTTGCACAGGTGGTCCCGGTGAACGTCCTGGCGCTGGGTCACTGTTCATGTGTCCCACTGTCTGTATTGCATATAGCCCAAATACTAAAAGGCAAATAACTAATTTCCTCATTATCACTGCAACAACTACAGTTTGTCAACTTCACTTTGTTGTGCGAGAGCAAAGAACACTGTGTTGTTGTAGTTGTTGTTGTTAAAAAAGCTGGCTGCAACAATGGCGGCGGCGGCAATTGTGGCTCACTTCGTTTTAATAGGATTTCCATAGACTTTATTTTTACGATTGGTTTCGAGTTTGCTTGGTACTGAGGCTAGCCGAGCTAAAATCCTTTTATAACAGGAATGAATAGTTTTAGTTGTTGGTTTTGGTCGGAAATGGTTTTGATTGTGTTGTTGGTAGTCTCTAGTTTGGATGTGTTGTTGTTGCTGTTGTTGTAAACTGTTGCAATCCAATTGTCTTCTTTTTCACTTTGGTATTTTCGTTGGCACTACATATGTTCCATTTAGTGGCAACAATTGTCCGGACATTTATTATAGCAACCACAATGTTTGGTGTTATCCTTGTAATTGATTCGCTTGACGTTTGTAGCTTTGTCATTATTCAATTAGGCCGTAGGCGATTTAAACTTTTCGAGTTGCAGTTGGTTTTCAGCTAAATCCAAATAATCATCTTTGGTTAATCTGAAAAGAGAGAAACCAAAACCTGTTGAGTAAGGATTAACAAAAAAGGACATATCCATAATATATTGAGGGTCTAAAACATTAAACATTTTTTTGGGAAAGAATTTTGAATCATTGATTTTTTGAGCACTTTTTTTTTGAAATGTTATGTTAACATGTTTTCAAGGATTAACACAACGCGTGGATTTTTAAAGAATATTTTTTAAGGACCTTTATAAGGCGTGGATTTTTTAAAGACCATTATCACCCGTTGATTTTTGAAAGAATATTTTTTAAGAGTCATTATAAGGCGTGGATTTTTTAAAGAATATTTTTAAGGGTTATTACAAGGCGTGGATTTTTTAAAGAATATTTTTAAGGGTTATTACAAGGCGTGGATTTTTTAAAGAATATTTTTAAGGGTTATTAAAAGGCGTGAATTTTTTAAAGAATATTTTTAAGAGTTATTACAAGGCGTGGATTTTTAAAGAATATTTTTTCAATGGTTATGTAAGGCGTGTATTTTTTAAAGAATATTTTTAAGGGTTATTACAAGGCATGGCTTTTTTAAAGAATATTTTTCTCCAAAACTTCCCAGGGCATGGCTTTTTTAAAGAATATTTTTAAGGGATATTACAAGGCGGGAATTTTTTTAAAGAATATTTTTAAGGGTTATTACAAGGCGAGGATTTTTTAAAGAATCTTTTTAAGGGTTATTACAAGGCGGGGATTTTTTTAAGAATATTTTTAAGGGATATTACAAGGCGTGGATTTTTTAACGAATATTTTAAGGGTTATCACAAGGCGTGGATTTTTTAAAGAATATTTTTAAGGGTTATTACAAGCCGCAGTAAAGTGATGCATAGAATCAATTTCTGAGTAGATTTATGCATGTCCGTCCATCCGTCTGTATGTCTGTCCATGTTAAATTGTAAACAAAGTACAGGTCGCATCAAAGACCCTATATATCTTCCGATTTGCACGAAATTTCGCATAGCGTAATTATTTAGGTCTAGAATGATGTATGTCAAGTTTTCTGAAAATCGGTCCAGAATTATATATAGTTCCCATATATGTTTTCGTCCGATTTAATGTAAATGGTGTACCAAAGTTGCTATATATCTTCCGATTTGCACGAAATTTGGCATAGCGTAATGAATTAGGTCTAGAATAATGTATGTTAAGTTTCCTGAAAATCGGTCCAGATTTAGATATAGCTCCCATATATATTTTCGTCCGATTTAATGTAAATGGTGTACCAAAGTCCCTATATATCTTTCGATTTGTACGAAATTTGGCACATCGTAATGAGTTAGGTCTAGAATCATGTGTGTTAAGTTTCCTGAAAATCGGTCCAGATGTAGATATAGCTCCCACATATATTTTTGGCCGATTTAATGTAAATGATGTACCAAAGCCCCTATATATCTTCCGATTTGCACGAAATTTCACATAGCGTAATGAATTAGGTCTAGAATGATGTATGTCAAGTTTCCTGAAAATAGGTCCAGATTTAGTTATAGTTCCCATATATATATATATATATATATATATATATTCGTCCGATTTAATGTAAGTGGTGTACCAAAGTTCCTACATATCTTTCGATTTGCACAAAATTTGACATAGAGTAATTAGGTCTAAAATAATGTATGTTAAGTTTCCTGAAAATCGGTCCATATTTAGATATAGCTCCCATATATATTTTTGTCCGATTTAATGTAAATGGTGGGTTCAGATTTAGATATAGCTCCTATATCTGACTAAATGAAACATTTAGTATCGGTTGCAGAATGACATGTTAACGGATCCAATTTCATTTTACTGGTCCTTTAAAAATGCTATGTCTCTTAGGATTCATCTGTTGAATATAGCCAAAGTGGTGAAGGGTATCATATAGTCGGCCCCGTCCGACTTTACTACTTTCCTTACTGGTTTAAGAAAATGTTTTCAAGCACCATCCATACAGGGCTTGGATTTTTTAAGAATATTTTTTCAAGGACTGAATTTTAACAATTTTTTAAGGTCCGGAACAGTAATGTTTTTGAACAATTTTTTAAGGCCCTATAGGCCCTATATGTAAGTTCCGTTCTATTATTTTTTTTTTTTTTTAACATTTTGGCAACATTTATTTTTCAAAGTGGCTTTAATTTGGCATTTCGGATTTCACATTTATTGAAAATACTGCATGTTTTTGCATGGCTCCATAAATTCCTAGATTCCTATTATAATTCCAACCTGAGGGTCTATAAGTTGATACTTAATTAGATCGGAACATCAACAACCACCTACCAGACATTTCACAATGACATAGTCGATGGTTAAAGAAATTACTCTCGCCATTAGACGACCTTCTATTCCAATAAAAACTCCGCTGGAGTTTTTCTATCTAACTAAAATATTTTTTTTAATTTTCCCTCTTATAATCTGCTGCATTGAAATTTTCATTAAATTAAGTCAACTTTGAAATATTAGAATTTTAATGGCAAACTAAGTAGACTGCAATTTGAAATTGGATCTAAATGACTCCCTGCCATATCCTATGTAGCCATGTAATGAAATGAATTGTGTGTAGTTCACTTTTTTTTAGAGTGGTGTAGAATGGAAGCTAAACGTAAGGTTGGCTATGATGATGACGTTGCTCGGCAGCTGTTTGTGTTGCATACTGAATCAAGGTCAGTTTAGTATTGGATATTTTTTCAATAATAAGTTGAATGTTTGACACGTTAATCGGCTCGACTTGCAATTACAATTCTTTGGCGAAAATCGATACATAATTAGGAGGAAATATTCATGTAATTAGTGAATTTATGCAATTTAGTTAATGAAGTTGGATATCACGTAATAATTTTAATACTATGAAGTGCGGTTAATGTTAATGAAACATTAAGACGCTTATCCTCATGTCATATTAACAATAAATCGAATTAAAATTAAATAGGCATTAAACCATATGTATATGCACGCCTAAGTTGGCTTATAAAATACATTTTTTAAACCAGTAAGAAAAGTTCAAAAGTCGGACGGGGCCGACTATATGATACCCTTCACCACTTTGGTTACATGCAAGACATGTTAATATCTACAAATTCCTGTAGATAGAACGGTCATAGAATCTTTGGAGGACCATTAAGATGAAATCGGGCGATATTAAATGTACTATCTAGATAAATATTTGAACCAATTGAGAAACCCCGTACACATACCATTCTGAAATCAACGAAAAACTGCATGTCAAACGGACAGACTTGGATTCTTTGGTGTACCATTTGTATGAAATCGAGTCAAATTATGTATGGGAGCTATATATAGACACATTGACTTAACTGAGTAACCGTTGCATACACCATTTGGTTTTTGTAATCACTATATTCAATTTAATACCCTCTGCCAAATTTCGTGTAACCACCATTTACATAAAATCGAACGAAAATATATATAAGACCTATATCAAAATCTGAGCCGATTTCAAAAAAACCTTATCACGCATCATTTTTTTCTCAATAGCATTCGCTATGCAAACTTCTACTCAATCAGACAAATATTGTGAGTTTGGTGTATCATTCACATAAAATCGGACGACTATATATAAGTGAGCTATGTCTGAATCTGAACCGATTTTAACAAAACTTCGCAGACATCAGTCTGCACCTAATTCAACACTCTGTGCAGAATTTTGTCCCAATCGGACAAATATTGGGAGTTTGGTTCATCATTCACATAAAATCGGACGAAACTAAATATGGGAGCTATATCTAAATCTTAACCGATTTTAAAAAAACTTCGTACACATCAATCTGAATATAATTCAGTACACTTTGCAAAATTTTTTTGTGCCAATCGGACAAATATTGGTAGTTTGGTGCATCATTCACATAAAATCGGACGAAACTATATATATAGGAGCTATATCTGAATCTGAACCGATTTTAAGAAACCTTCGCAGACATCAGTTTGGACCTAATTCAGAACTATGTGCAGAATTTTGTCCCGATCGGACAAATATTGGGAGTTTGGTGCATCATTCACATAAAATCGGACGAAACTAAATATGGGAGCTATATCTAAATCTTAACCGATTTTAAAAAAAAAACTTCGTAGACATCAATATGAATATAATTCAGTACTCTTTGCAAAATTTTGTGCCAATCGGGCAAATATTGGGACTTTGGTGCATCTTTTACATAAAATCAGACGAAACTATATATGGGAGCTATATAAATCTGAATCGATTTTCTCCAATTTCAATAGAGTTCGTCCATGAGCCAAATAGGTGAACTGTGCCAAATTTTATCCAAATCGGATCATAAATGCGACCTGTACTTTGTTCACAAAAATACATGGACGGACGGACATGCGTAAATCGACTCAGAAAGTGATTCTATGCTTATT